CGCCTTATCGGGCAGGCGGCTGGGGAGAACAGCGAAGGTGTGGAGAGTGATTTCGGTGAGGAAGTGAGGAAGGTAATGGGGGCGAACATGAGGCAGAGAGTAATGAAGACAAGGAAGAATTTAGTGATAAAGACAAGGGAGAATCAATTGATAAAGATAAGGGAGAATCCAGTGATAAAGGGGAAGGAGATTACTATGAAGGGAAGGGTGAGGGCTATTGTCCTACATCTTCGCCAACGGTTATAGATCGTCTTAGAATAAAGTTGGACGCTGCTATAAGGGATGCGCTCCGCGATCGGGGCCCGCGGTTCCGACAGCATTTGGTTTAGCTAGTTCGGCTCTCCAGATGAGTGCTTCTCAAGTCTTCCGAGCAATGTTAAGCGCGAGGTGGAACACCTCCACACTTCAGTTGACCACGTCCGCAGTCAAACTCCAGACGACCCCATCTACTCATTTCATCCTTAATACATCCACTGTGGAACTTATAGTCGGGCAGAACGGCCTGTGCAGTTAAAGATCTGGAGACGCCTACGATGGTGCTATTTTCTGTACTTAGAGGGTTATAATTGTGGAGTATAAGATGATCATTGATACCACGGACAAGGTGTTTTCCACTTTAAAGCCGAGAAAGGAAACGATCCGTATATAACCTTTTCGTCTGAGAGGCGTTGTATGTACTTGACGGAGGGCTGCATATCTTCACGCGAGGGGAAAGAGTGCCAAAATCAACTTCTGAAATAACCCAAACCCGCACTTCACCTCACAGCTCGCCATCCACCGCGAGCTGTCGTATTTTCCCCACTGTCGTGTCTATAGCCTCACGCGCGGTCTAGACTTCAGCATTAATAAATAATGCTATGACCGAAAAGTCGATATTGCAGTGCAAAGCGTGGTAATATTTTCACGTTACCTTTTTGCGACTCTCCCCAATCCTCTTCAGCTCTTCACTTCCAGCCTGCGCGTCGGGACACTCCCATGCAAACACAAACGTCAGCAGCATGTCCATATCCGCGCCTCCCGGCCCTGTCGAGATGACGTTGGAAGCGCTGCTGCCGTCCTCCATAGCGTAGTCCAGGCGACATGGCTCCCGCAGCGTACAGGTTTCCCGAATACTCAGCGGATGCCCAGGAACGGGCTTAAAATTGACAATAGCCTCGATTGTCGTCTCGTTCTCATAGACAATCTTGCATGAGTCCACGATGGGCACGAAGTCTTGGGGACAGCGGGCCTTTCGCATCAGCCCCGCCCAGGCTTGGTCGCGGGTCAGGACCGGATGGGCACCTGGGGGGTTGATGGGCGAGCTGACGGCGATATTCAGAGTGACCATGGCGGCGAAGTTTGCGTTAGGTTATTTGAGGCTAGATGGCGCTGCACGAGAGATACTGTGACTCGCTCTATAAGATGAAATCACTGAACAAGGGGAAATATATAGCATTAAGTGGCTTCCCGCGTCAACAATTTTTGAGCTTCCAGCCCACATCCATTGCTTTTTTTAAGCTTATTGTCATAGGTCCCCGGACATCCGATGTGGTTGATGCAATGGACTATAGGTTGTGACAGTTCGGAATTTGCTTAGACCAGCCACCTAAGCCATGGCAAGTATGTAGCTTCAACGAGGCCGACTGCACTAGCAACGACACGCTGCGCTCCATCACGCGCAGCATGGGACGGGCCAAGGAGCACTGTCGAGGAACGCAATACAGTTCTCTTGACCTATGGCTTGTACCTGTACCTCTGTCGACGTATATCTCGCCGTATACCAGCTTATCCAACCACATAATTCCTGTATATCTGACAGATACTTCCTCTATCTGTCTTCAGTTGATGATCGATTGCCTTCTTCCTCGATTGATCGCTTGCTTTCCTAAGCGACAGATCGCTTCTTGGCAAAGGCGACCACGTGACCTTCGTGTTCATTCTGCCGTGTCTGACCACCCTTGGTGGCCAGACCGCCGCCTGGCTGTGACAGAAAGTGGATTGAAATAGGTGTTTTTGGTATCGTGGGTAGATTCGCAGGTGTGGATTTTGAGGTGTCCTAAATGTGGGGCTGTCTAAGATGGGGGCCCTCCGACTTATTTTCTTACAAACTATGAAAGCACGCATCCGATTAGTAGTATACTACTCTCGATCCCCCAAAATCTTGAATCCGGATCGATAGCTGGATCGAGCTAAGGGACACGCGATCATAAAAGGAAAAGGTAAATATCTAGGACGTTTAGAGTACCATGTCCGTGTTCGACTGCAAAAAAGCCCACCCACATGTCAGTGTTCCTCAAAATAGAAGCAGTCCTCTAATAGTTCCAGACCGCTCAGGAGTTTTCCTAGGGCAGGATATCCGAGCGACACTTCAAGGATATGCAACTTTGGCGCGTCTGATTCTTCTTTGAGCGACATATTGTTCTACCTACGTCTAATATATCTAGGTAGTCTACTCAATATATTCTACTTGCAAATAACCTTTTCTTTTTTAAGATATAATCTTCCCTCTTTGATCACCATTCCTATTGTATTTCCTCTCCGGCGTTGGAATATTGTCGTTGTTGATTGAGCGTTCGAGGACAGACATGACCTCGCCTTCTTTGAGGAGCCCTTTCTCGACCGCAACATCCACAAATGGCCGCTGATCTGCTAGGGTCGCGCGAACGATGCTCGAAACCTGCGCATAGCCAAGAGTTGGCACGAGAGCAGTAGCAAGTGCGCTGGATGCGAGCAAATGACTGTGCGAGATGTCTTCGTTTGCAAGCAAACCGTTGACGCATCGGCGAGCAAAGATCCCGGCAGCGCCGGTAAGCAGGCGGATACTGTCCAGGAGACGGTCACACACCAAGAGCTCAAAGTGATTAATTTCGAGCATGCCTTGCTGGCATCCCATTGCGATAGCGGCATCGTTGCCAGTGACAGCACAGGCGACTTGACAGACTGCCATCGGGATCACCGGGTTAACCTTACCGGGCATGATGGAGGACCCGGCTTGGACTGAAGGCAGAGTGATCTCACCGATCCCACCGCTGGGACCGGAAGATAAGATAATAAAGTCGTTGGCGATTTTCCATAGACTGTTTGTAGTATTGCGCAACTCGGCCGACAGACGGGCACAAGTGTCCATGTTCTGCATGCCGTCGAACGGGTTGCCGGTGGGCTCGACTTTGGCGTCGAATAACGAGGACAGATGCCGGAATACGGCCTCCTTGTACCCCGGACCTGATCCAAACCCCGTCCCAATAGCTGTTCCTCCCAGGGGAACCGTCAATAATTGGTTGCGGATTGTGTCGAGATGTTCTGCGTGCCGGCTAACGACCGCTTCGTAACCGCCAAGAGCCTGGCCGAAGGTCATGGGTTGCCCGTCCTGAAGGCAGGTCCTTCCAAGACGGAGGAGAGATGTATATTGTTCACGCTTCGTCGATAATGCGTCGGCCAGCTGGCGAAGCATTCGTAGAGCTTCCGCCATAGCACGATAGAGTGCCAGCTTCATTGCTGTCGGAATCACGTCGTTCGTCGACTGTCCCAAGTTGACGTGATCGTTCGGATGGACAAGGCTGTAATCGGAAAGCGCCCGGCCTGAGGCTTTTGCCGCGATATTCGCGATCACTTCGTTGATATTCATGTTGGTCGAGGTGCCGCCTGAGCCCTCCAGCATGTCAACGGCTAGATGTGCATCATGTTTACCGACTTTTACTTCTTCGCAGGCCGCAAAGATAGCATCCGCCTGCTCTGCCGCCAGGCTACCTATTTCGCAATTTGCACGAGCTGCCGCTTGTTTTATCGTAGCGAGCGCACAGATGAAGTCTGGCCACGTTGCGATGGACCGCCCGGAGAGGGGGAAATTCTCGAGAGATCGAGAGGTGTTGATGCCGTAAAGCGCCTCGGTTGGTAGCTCCAGTTGGCCGAGGCTGTCCTTCTCGATCCGCATGGTAACCATAGAAATGATCTACTAGTGACTTTAGACGTGCGTTCTCGCTCGCACGTCACAAGCCCAAGTTGTGAATATTGTGAGAATTCTTGATTGTGTCTCGAAGCAGTTTAACGCACCAGATCAGGGGGGTCAGGGCCGAATTTTCAGTGATGTAGGCGTCTTGATGATGGTGTTGCTTTGTAACAGACAGGTCTCGACCTCTCCCAATCGTAATGCGTCCGCGGTAAGACGGTGGTTAGCGGAAGCAGTCGGTCAAATGGGCGTGCGTTACTATAAACAGGAACGACTCTAAAGCTCTCACTGGAATGTAGAAAGATTGTAAGACGATGGTTGCTTCCAGGACCGAGCAAGGGTAGAATATATGCACGCAGAGCACCGGGGCGATATCGGTTCAAGGGCATTAGGGTGAACCGTATACGGTTTGTAGTTGCTGGAGCCATTGATAATCGCATGGCCGAGATGGGCCGTTCATACGCCCATCTCCGCTTGCGATCTTCTCTGTGCAGGGTATTCTGGGCCGTAACTTGGCAGGAATCCCCATGCAACGAGACGAGGCCCGGCACCAAGCCGAGACGGTCGGTTCCATTGCCGCGACAAGGCATTGAGTGGTGGTTCGAGGAGCTCGGCAGCTAGTTGCTAGGTGCCGCCCAGAGATGTTAGATAAGCTGCTGCTGATTGGCTCACGGTATGGTCCGCTTCGGCATCTTACAGCTAGCGGCCGAAGTTAACACTTTTAGTGGGCTGTTGCTCGGAGATTGCTAGAGATGCCTCTGGTGACTGGCTCGCAGGAGGCTCTCCTTCGGCATGTCGTACTTCTTTCTTGTGTAATACCGAAGCTAAACTCAGGTGAACGATGGTTCCCCGGATTCTCCCCCGGGTTCTCCCCCGGACGCTCTCCCCCATGGGGTACGAAAATATTCTGACGAGGTAGCCCGTCGGCTTCGCCACACAAGTGGAACGCCCAGCCGTATAAAAGGGTGGACATTCGTCGAAAAGAGCAAACTACAAACAAACGTTCAAGAGAAACTCGCCAAGCAAAAAGGTGTCTAGAGCGAATATGTCACATGACGCAAGCAACACAGACAATATGGCCGAGATGAAAGACCTAACCACTATTTCTAGCCATCAAGAGGATAAAGTGGACGGCTTTAACGAGCGCCAGGGACCGGAATGCCCTGAAATACTCCGCTCACTAAATGAAGAAGAGAAAAAGAGGCTCGAACGCCTTCTTGTCAGGAAGCTGGACGCACGCCTCATGGCTCCTTTGATCCTCATGTATATTATGAACTATCTGGACAGGTATGCCCCCCTTTTATATAGGTTATGAGCCAACCGCTAACTTTAGGCTCCTAGAAATGCCATTGCTGCCGCAAAAATATCTGGTATTGTTGGTGATCTGAATTTATCCGATTCAGAGTTTCAGACTTGCATTAGCGTCCTTTTCGCAGGGTATCCCAATTGCCAGCCGAAGAAACACCATTGAGCCCTTGCTAAATGTAGCTACAGGTACATCCTTATGCAGGTTCCATCTAATCTGTTCCTGAACAAGATTGGAAAGCCGTCCATCTACCTCCCCGTGTGCATGGTTATTTGGGTACGTATGTAGACATCTATAAATTTCTAATCCTCACATGCTTTTTGTCTTAGGGATCGATCTGTGCCGCGACTGGCGCCGTGCAAAACTTTAGCGGGCTTGCTGCTACCCGCTTCTTGTTGGGTTTCGTGGAAGCTGCCTATTTCGTGAGTTGTTACCAAAATGCGTAGTACACTTAAGAGTACAGGGCGCTAACGAGTACAAGCCTGGATGCCTGGTATGCCTAACTGTCTGGTATACGTGTAAAGAACTTGCATTTCGGACCGCTTTGCTTTACTGCGGCTCGTTGGTCTCGGGCGCGTTTTCCGGGTTAATAGCGGCGGCTATCACTTCCAATCTGGACGGGTAAGTCAGACCCAAACACCAACAGGACTGACCTTGGAGTGACTGACGTCCTTTTAGAGCTCTCGGGCATGCGGCATGGCGATGGCTCTTTATCATTGAAGTAAGTAAAATAAGTAAAATCTCAACCGAGGTCACGGAAGAATGGTTCGCTGATAAAGTTTTGCGCGCAGGGGGCGATTACTGTAGCTATCGCGGCTGTCGTCGGTTTCATTCTCCCAGACTTTCCAACCAACACGAAGTGGATGACGGAACAGGAGCGCGCGCTTGCATCTTGGCGCCAGACCACCGACATTGGCGAGGAAGACTGGGTCTCACCCGAATCGGAGACCCTCTTCACGGGATTCAAGCAGTGCATTCGCGACTACAAGACCTGGTTCTTCCTCTTCTTGATTCTTGGAGTGGTTTCCAGCGGTACCATCAACTCCTATTTCCCGACAATTGTCCAGACTCTCGGTTACGGGAGAACCAAGACACTCTTGCTAACCGCCCCGCCATACTTGCTATCCTGCATCGTTGCCCTACGCGTGTCTTTGAATGCGGACCGAACCGGCGAGCGATACCTCCATTTTACCATCCCCACTTGGGTGTCGGTTGCCGGCTTCATCATCTCGGCTGCGACGACCAACATTGCCGCACGCTACTTCTCTATGATGATAATGCTACCCGGTGTGTATACTGCCTTCGTTATTGGCCTGGCGTGGTTAGCAAACTCCATTCCAAGACCTCCCGCCAAGAGAGCAGCCGCGCTGGCTCTTTGCCAAGCTTCCTCTAACTGCTCGAGCATCTATGGGCCATTTCTGTATCCGGAATCAACGGCGCCCCGGTATCTCATTGCTATGGGGGTAAATGCTGGCACCGCAGTGATGTCAATTATCGTCGCAACCTTTCTACGTATTGATCTGCAAAGACTCAATCGAAAGATGGACGAGGCGGGATTTGGATCAGTTTCGGGCTCAAATGGATGTCGAGAACAGAGTGGAGAGACTCCGCAGAAGAGCTTCCGCTATCTGTACTGATGCTCACGAAGCCCCTAGGGCAGCGCGCTTGGGCTATGGGACCGTTGCGCTTGGCTTGTAGTTTTTCTGGCTGTAACATACATGCCATTGATACTTTATTAAGCTCTGTCAATTAGAGTCAGATTTTTGTCACGATATAGGACTGCGTCGTACAATTGACATTCCCGATATCTCTAATATCGTCATGAAATTAAGACCCTTCGGGCCCTTTTACAGTCGCCGGCCCCGCTATTGAACCCCTTTTTCATGGCATGGATGGTGTGACAGCGTAGAAATTGGCCGAGAGGTTCGGTGAAACAAGGTGCAGTGGGGTCTTACCGGCCCATTGGACAGCTCCAATCCTTAGCTCCTCTTCCTAGAGGGTCCAGGTGCTGAGATCATCCGACAGCTTCGATGCATCATACTGTACCTCAGCACCTGCTCCCTGGGCTTGCTGTTGGAGATGTACTAGCAGCAGGAGGGAAAGGCGCTTCTTCGAATCAAACTGGGCCTTTGGCCTGACCTCCTACCTTGTCAGGACTAGACCAACTGCGTCATGACGTACACTACACAGTAGCCCAAGCAAGAGGGTCGGGTCTCCTCACTATTAATCCCTACCCCGGTTCAAAAGGAACACTTGAACAAGTCCCATAGCTAGTAATCTCATATTGAAATAATTGTTTTGATTGCGTCCCGTTCCCCAATACGGTAGTGCTTACGAGTCTGATACCTGATCAACAGTCCCCAATTACCCTTCGTAATTCGTCCCCGATTTTTTACTCCTCAAACACCTTCTCCGCATTTTATGACACTCAACTTTTTCATTTCATAGGATCATAGGTAGAGCAAGAATCCTGTAATTGTTTATTTACTACTTCGTACGTTGCGCAATAATTTATGTTTAATATTCCGTTTTGTCACTCACTGACCTAGTAACCGACATGTCATTGGAATCCTAGACATTTAAATGAAAGAGTAAGCTTAATGCTGCGGTGTGACTTCCTTACGCTGGAGTCGAAGCTCACAATGTCTGGAGAATTTGAACGATTTTAGCTGTCATGTCAGCCAGCAAACGAAAGCCCATAGCCTGTCAAAGATGTCACAAGAGAAAGGTTAAATGTTTAGGAGGCTAGTATTGCCCTGGATTCTAGCTTCGGATGTGTCAAAAAATAACATTGTTACAGGAGTGCCTTGTCAAAACTGCGTCTCCGCAGGGCTTTCTTGCACATTTCCCGTCCGAGATAGGAATATTGTTGTTTCTGAGACTTACATACGGCGGCTACAAGCTCAGAGTCACATCCACTCCGAGACTCCATCCTATGTAAATGTGCAGGAGACTGGAGATACAAGCAGCCGAACGAGCGAAGTGGGCCTCCAGGCTTCCATACCGCCAACTGAAGGAAGTCGCAAGGACGCTCAAACACGCCACTTCCGAGGCATTTGTATCCGGTCTTAAAAGGCTAAGCGCGAGAGACTCCCCAGTGTCTCCGGGCCCCAACTATAACGTCAATCAAGCTCCTGCTGGGTCTTACTTGGAAGGACCGGACGAAGTTTCCAATTACGATTATGTGTCCCTAAACTTTGATACTTCATGTATGTAAGGATTTAACATAAAAACACCCGGAAAATACTGACACGTTAAAAGCCCTAAAGGTCGCTATCCAGCTTCCGCCCTATCCTTACGCCGTTCAGTTAGTCCGACAATTCGAAACGATGATGGCCTACGAGTATCACTGGTATCTCCGGCGAGAGTTTTATTCCGCCCTGGAAAGAACATACCGATCCCCCGATTCAGAACAGTCCAGAAATCGTACGCGGCTCTCTAAGCTGCTAGCCGTGCTCGCACTGGGCGAGTCTTTCAACAGCTACGAGCCTCCTTTGATCGACCTAACCCAAGATGTGCACATGACACGAAGAGAAGAAGACGCAAAGGCTTCATACCTCCCAGGAGCAAATTTCTTTGAGCAAGCGCTGTCTCTTTTTAAAATGCCCTCTGAAGAGCCCGAAATTGGGCATGTGGAGGCTCTTAATTTGATCGTAAGTATCCTCGTCGAAATAACCGACGCAGAGCCTGATATATCTTAGTCCTTTTTTTTTGCTATTCCTTGAATCGACGCAAAACCGCGTACATGTACGCGGGAATATCGATGAGAATAGCATGCACCCTAATGCTCCACAAACCGGTACCGCCAAAACCGCCGGCCGTCGCAGAACACCGGAAGCGAATATGGTGGACGACTTTCCTAATGGATGCCATGACCTCCTCGGAAATGGGGCTAAGAGCAACCTTTGCACTCATACAAGCCGAGCAGCCACTTCCGTTAGACGAGCAACTCGCTCCAGCAGATCGCGACGATTTTTGGGGCTCGAAGACTATGACGGCACACTTGAATCTGTGCAATATTAGAACTCTGATACTTGAGACACTGGCACAATTACAGGAGTCTGATTTTGCCAGCTACGAAAAGGCCACGGAAGTTCCACTACGCGAGCTAGAGTTATGGAAACTTCAACTCCCCGCGGATAGCTCTTTCGAATTCTCGCAAGGAATCCCTCAAACGATGCTTGACCAACCTTGGATGAGATCTCTGGCGTCGGTATATTTAAGATACCACCAGAGTTACATCCTGCTCATCCGACCAGTTTTTTTCAAGCTTCTTGGAATTGTACTTAGAAAAGATACTGTTACATCATCCTTGGACGGCTTGATAAGCCTTTGCAGCCAATGCCTCGAAGCCGCCAAATGCAATATGCGGATCCTAACCACTCTTTCAAGCAGAGATCGAATAGGCAAGTCCTCCACTCACTATAATTACATTCAAAAAAGTATTAACCGGTCATCAGCGAAATACGGCTTTTACGACTCGCTGCATTTATTCTCCGGCATCATGATCTTTTCGCTGTCTAGGCTAGTTAATACCGTCAGACCTCTAAGTCTGATGCAGGATCCGCAAGATCTCTCACTGTACTCAGTAGCAAAGGACTTGTTGATGACTATGGCTTCTTGCGGAAACCTCGCTTCCAAGGGCCACGTGCAAATGCTCGAGGACATTGAACAACTGTTGGACGTCGTGTCACAGAACCAGGAGACCCAGACGCCAACTTTCGGGTCGGAAATCTTTCCGTGGATCGACTCGATAGATAATTCTGGATACTTTCTAGATACCACCGAATATTCCTAGCTGCAGATGAACGTGTACCCCATAGCTTGCCAGAGACACTTTTGAATTTGGTTTATTAGGCCACTAATGGTCCCTGCGTTTATCGTCACTGTCTCGATGAGGACCTGAAAAGCTATTAGACCACGAGAAGGAACAGCAAGAATGATACCACCAGACCACAGGACAGAATTCAATAGATTTTGAGAATTCTCCTACCACACACACTACGGTTTTAGGGCACTCGCGAGCTCTGGCGTCAGCTGCTCGTCCCTCTATGACCTTGCGCGAAGTCTCATATCCAATTTATTCAGGAAGCGAATGTTACCTCAAGTAACGGGTAGCTTTTTATGCAAAATAGCCGACCGACGGATAAACAAATAAATAAGTCGAATGTTACGATCCGTACACGAGCGCAGAGGTATATCAGGTAGGTACAGTTAGTGTAGGGGTCGAAGGTGCCTGTTTAAGGATAAGCGAGGCGGTTAAGCAGTACTAGTAGTGATGTGGGTGAGAAGTGTGTATTCAAGTGTAGAGTGTAGTTGTTGCTTGTATTGACCATTGAGGAGTCTAGGAGAACATGCTAGATACTAGGGAAACACCGTAGCTTATATAGACACTTCCCCTATCTATCCTTAGTAAGATCGATTCTTTCTTAGCTCGACCCTCCAGTCGGTTCTAGGGAGTGTGCCATGATGAGCCCATATACTTATGCACCAATTCGTCTCGTCGTAGCTGGCTAGCTGGCTCGCAGTCATGAACGCTGCGCGAGTGCTGGTTGGTAACACTCCCCGAAACCAGCTCCGCATACCCTCTTCTCGAGCCATGCGTACCATACCATCAAAGGCATGCTTATAGTTGCGTCGCTTCATCACTGGAAGGGTCGCATCGCGCTGCATGCGTACATTAAGTATATCGCCGATGTTTCCGACGACTCCCCCTGCGAAACTGGAGAGAGCAGCTATAGTAATAGGGTGCAGGAAAGAGGGATCGCCTGCAGAGCGATCAAGCCGCATCTTGAGGTCTTCATAAATGCTGAATCGTACTGTGGAGTAAGTAACCTGACGGAGAAGAGAGGCGGACAAGCCGGTGTATAAGCCATGTACGCTATCGGTTTTGATAATATCGATGAATATGCCGCTCAGTGTCTTGGGTGCGTTGCCGTTATGCATCTGAAGGCGTATCTGAAAACTTATTGAGTAAGGCAACTGCCAGTATCATCGAAGGGAACAAACCTTAGCTACGTAGCTTCCATATTAACAAAAAAAGCCATACTTAACTTAGGCAGAACATACCTAGATCCAATGGATGCGTTAAGCAGGCAGCCATACTACTAGCGCTTCCCCCAAACCAGAAAGGATACTGTATAATGTCTCCCTTCTTGTGCTCCGCATCCACCTATGTGGATGGCGGATATTTGGGGGCGTAGTTTCGTCCATTTTCATAGATGTTGATAGTGATGCAGCAAGTGTTAGACAATGTTCTATACGATCCGTCTCGCTTTTCAGCCAGGGAAACGAGAGCCCAGGAGATCGTTAAATTCTAGCAGAGAGACCCTGGTTCGACTCTCAAACTGCCAATGTCTTAACGAAGTTCCAAGAGCTCTATATGCCCCGGAGATGCCCATCCATCCCCTTTTGTCAGTCCCTGCCATCGAATTGGCCAGCCATGAGCGGACTCGTAGCCCAGCAGCTCGGCGATTCCCGGCGATTCTCTAAATTGGCCAGACCCTCCATTCCCGACAATGGATAAGTGGAACCGACGTCCGTCCATGCAGCAGATCCATGCACTCCGTACACGTGTACGTTACTTGGCTCGCACCCTGCCTAACCGGCTCCGCATATTGTCCTAAACCATGTCGCCGAGATGAGGCGCCCTGATCCCTCCATGTGCATTCACAAAAAGTTATGCAGGCAGGATGGACCGTGGCATTCATTTCTGAAACTGCCTCTATTTATTCCACACCTTTTGTTAGCCGCTACGTCTACATATTAACAAATACAAAATCACGGGTAGTTCAAATCTTGAAAATGAAAGAAAACGACTCGATGTCAGGAAGTCTCGTGTTCCGTATTCCTTTTCTCTCGTCTTCGTTCCATCTAGCTAGTTCGTCTTTAGGTCCAGGTGGCTCGGTACAACGGCTCTTAGCAAGCTACCCGGAGCCCGAGAATGTGAGAGGTGGGAGTATAACAACAAAACCCGAGCCGATAATCTCGGAACTTCCCAGCTGTCCTTACCAATAAAGCTTCTAAAACATAGTCACACTCTAGTCACCTCTATTCTCAGCCTTCGTTGGCAATTGATTTTTTTTTTTTTTTTTTGGGGGGGGGGGGGGGGGTTTGTGGGGCATTACGCTCGGCGATTTTCGGCGTTTCCTCAGGTTCTCTCTGGGCTCAACCCCTTAACCACACCCCCCGCCTACTTCTTATCGTATTCTTCTCCGGTACGGGGCATCAATTGTTACCACTTCACCGTAACTTCTGAATCTTCTCCCTCTTGCGCTCTACACCATCGCCTCCAATTTTCTCTACCGCCGTCAAATATGGGGTTTCGTTTGCTCGCCCGACCTGTCCTGCGCCGTCACGGGCATCGTCGAGGAGGATGCAGGCGATGGCTATTGACTCGACCACAGTTTCAGTGGGACGATCCCCTTGATTTTCAGAGTCTCCTGACAGACGAAGAGAGCGCCGTACAAAGAACCGCCCGCTTATACTGCCAGGAAAAGCTCCTCCCCCGAGTCATCGATGCTTACCGGAACGAACACTATGACAGGAATATCCTGAAGGAAATGGGCGATCTGGGTCTACTAGGTGCCACCATCGAAGGCTACGGATGCCCTGGAGTCAGTAGCGTTGCCTCTGGACTCGTAACGCGCGAGGTTGAGAGGATTGATTCAGGTTACCGCTCTGCAATGTCCGTCCAGAGCTCACTCGTCATGGGCCCTATCGCTGAGCATGGCTCCGAAGAGCAGAAGGAGAGATGGCTTCCCAGACTCGCACGAGGGGAGCTCGTTGGCTGCTTCGGTCTGACCGAACCTAACCATGGCTCCGACCCGGGGTCGATGGAGACTACCGCAAGAGAACATCCAAGCAAGGCCGGCTGCTATCTACTTTCGGGAAGCAAGACATGGATCACCAATTCTCCAATCGCCGACTTGCTCGTGGTCTGGGCTAAACTCAACGGCAAGATCCGCGGCTTCGTGGTCGAGAGAGATCAATGCCAGCCGGGGACGCTCGAAACACCCGCTATCAAGAATAAGAACGGCCTTCGGGCTTCGATCACCGGTATGATTCATCTGGATAACTGCGTGGTGCCTGCCGAAAACATGCTCCCCAACATTGAGGGCTTGAAGGGTCCCTTCAGCTGCCTGAACTCTGCGCGTTACGGGATTGCATGGGGCGTGATTGGGGCTTTGGAGGATGCCCTTGAAAGGAGTCGGGCGTATGCGCTCGAGCGCAAGCAGTTTAAGTATCCGCTAGCCAAATATCAGCTCATACAAAAGAAGCTTGCCGACGCCTCAACCGATGCTGCATTTGGACTCTTGGCAGCCTATCAGGTCGGACGTTTGAAGGATGAGGGACGAGCCGCGCCGGAGATGATATCCATGATCAAGCGCCAGAATTGCGACCGTGCCTTGGCCAACTCGCGTGTGTTGCAGGAAGTTTTTGGCGGAAATGCCGTCAGCGACGAATATCATATTGGCCGTCACGTTGCAAATCTATTTGTCACGCAGACCTACGAGGGCCAAAGCGATATCCATACCTTAATCCTCGGCCGAGCTATTACAGGGATTCAGGGCTTTTTCTAGCGAGACTGTTTCCTTATCCGAGAAAATACAAGTAGGGGGAGAGTTGGTTGTTTCGCTTAAAATATTAAACAAGTAGAATAGAAATAAACAAATCGCGAGTTATATACGCAATCAGGATTTCACGGCATTTAGATCGAAGTTCAAGACAACCAAGTGATTTTCAGTCCTGACAGCTATTAATGTGCTAATACAACTTTCCACTTCAAGCAGACAGCATCTCATACTGGATCGTGCTGTTAGGCGACGCATTCATACATCGATCGACGTGAAATCACCGAGGTGGTTGGACACTGTTTGCAAAGCGTTGCAATGCCATTACTGCGAAGCTAAACGAATGGCGAGCTGGACTGCTTCAGTGAAGTCGGCGACCGAATGAATATCCAGACCGCATTGCGCAAGCTTTATAACAACGGCAACTAGATCAGTCTCTTGGATCGAGGCGAGATAATGATAAAAGGCCCGGGGGCTTACCATGGCCTGACCCTTGTCAGCACTAGTTCCTTGCAGTCGCACGACGAGTGGCACACGGAGGGGGCCGAGCTCTCTTGCCGCACTAATTATCGAGGTAGCGACCATATCTCCGTGGATGATACCTATGTTTGACCTTGTTAGCATATCCTTCTCGTCAATGTTAAGTTTTTATTGGAGCAATCAGCATGATACCTCCGTAGATGTTAATGAACACGACCTTGACGCGTTCATCCTCCAAAACAATTCGAAAAGCGTCTGTCATTGTCTCTTTTGTAGCTTTGCCGCCCGCGTCAAGAAAGTTAGAGCATTTGCCTCCGTGATAGTCTATGGCATCCATGGTCGCCATTGCCAGGCCCGCACCGTTTACGATATTGCCGATATTCCCGTCCAACCTGACGTAAGAAAAGCCTAGTCTCGCTGCCTCTATTTCCCTTGCGTCCCGGTCCGCCTGCTCCTCCAGAGCGAACAGCTCTGGCTGCCGAAACCGGGCCGCATTGTCGAAGTTGAACTTGGCATCCAGGCAAATAAGGTCTCCTGATGCGGTGGCAACTAGCGGATTGATCTCGAGCAGCGTCGCATCGTGAGACTTAAAGAGCTCGTACAAGGTCGTTAGTAGCTCATGAATTTTGTCCTTTTGGACACCGCTAGCTAGGCCAAACAGCCGCGCGACCTCCGAGGACGCTGCCTCGTTAATTCCCTCAGTGTAGTTGAGCGGTACTCGAACAACGCTAGTTGGGTCAGTTTTGACCGCTGTTTCGATGTCCATGCCGCCGCTCCGCGAAGCAACAATGGCGGGACAACGCCGGTCACGGTCGACGCAGATGGAAAGATAGAACTCCTTGTTGTATGGGATCTTCTCTGTCACGTATAACTTATGGACAGGCAAACCACTGTCTTTGGTCTGCTTTGTCCGCAGATAGTGCCCAAGCATCTGAGTTGAAATAGCAGAAGCTTCGTCGAGGCTGACGCGCTGCATCAGAATGATTTTAAATTCATAACCCACCGGGTTGCGACGCTGAACACTTACGATTCGACGATCTGGACTCCACCCTTCAGTCCCGTGTCAAAGACACCTTTGCCCCGGCCACCTGCCAGTACCTGCGCCTTTATCACGGACGGTAAACCTTTTTGAGGGAGGAAAGTCAACGAGTGGATAGTCGCAACGACGGACAAGCAAACAGCAGCATCACTCACCTATTTTCTCACAAACACCTGGAACTTCCTTAGGGTCCATTATGACTTCTCCGCGAGGCACTGCTATACCTGCCTGATATCTCAGTGGTTAGCCATAGTCAAAGCCCTGTTCGAACTTTTTCTTTCACATACTCCCCTAAGTAGACGTTGCGCTTGGTACTCATGAATGCTTAAGTACCTCTTCTGATTGGGACATGATTTATATGTCGCCCGTACTCCAACAAGAAAACCAGTTTTTCTCATCGATGGAGAGGCTGCTAGCTTCACAATGCAAGCCATCCTGGATGGGTGTTGTAATGACGCAGCCCTATTTTGGACGACAGGAATCAACTGGCCTTAGGAGGAAAGTACAAAAGGACGAAAGAATGGATAAGGTGAAAAGTTCTCAAGTCTCATTCATAAAGGAGAGCAAGATGTCTTTTCTTTCACCTTGTGCGCCTCGTGCGCCTCATCATGGTGATTCGGCGATTTTCGGCGATTTTCGGCGTTTCGATGGGCATGCAGAAGACATCTCGGCGTCATCTACTTCTAGTCCTGCATTCATATTCTGCGTTGAATCCGGCGTTGATAGAAATCGAAAACGGCCTCGAGGTGAATCAAGCAGCAGGTGAAGGGAACATTTATCATGGCTTTCCAAGCTGCGAGACGAGCTTCGGCTGCCGCCCTGCGTTGCACCCATTCTCAACACCATCGATTCTTTCACCTTACGTCCGCCAAGTTCCAGGGACTTCTAATTGATGAAACCACCAGAGTGCTGTACCAAGGCTTCACCGGTCGAGCCGTTAGTTTCCCCCAGTGCCACTTTGACATTGCCACTCACCCAGAGAGCTCACTGCCGTTCACCAGGCTACCAACAATGCAAAAGATGCTATAGCACACGGAACCCAGGTTGTCGGTGGTGTAACCCCCGGCAAAGGAGGCCGCAGTCACCTTGGACTACCGGTATTTAACAAAGTATCTGAGGTATACCGTGTTCTGCCTTTAGCCAGTCCGCTTTCCGCCCTCACGAGATAGTAACTGGAGACACCCTAGGCAGTTAAGGCACTGAAGCCCGACGCCTCATTTGTCCACGTACCTGCATCCGCTGCAGCTCGTGCGATTGAGGAGGCCATCGAGGCTGAGATCCCTCTAATTGTGTCCATCGCGGAGCACATCCCCGTTCACGACATGCTCAGGGTCCAGCAGGTTTTGCGCACACAGAGTACGTCTCGGCTGGTCGGCCCAAACTCACCGGGTATGATTGCACCTGGAAAGTGCCGGATTGGCATCATACCGAACGAACAATGTATGCCGGGAAGCGTCGGTATCATCTCAAGGAGTGGTACCATGATCTACGAAGCAGTTGGCGCAACGGGCAGGGCAGGTCTTGGCCAGAGCATGGTGATCGGTCTAGGCGGAGATACGATGCCAGGGACAACGATGAAGGAGGCGCTGGAGACTCTCATACAGCATAACGAAAGCCGAGGCATCGTTCTGATTGGAGAGGTTGGCGGATTATTTGAGATCGAAGCTGCAGATGCCATCAAGCGCTACAGACAGTCCTCGAGCAACCCCAAGCCCATCATCGCAATCGTTTCGGGACGGACTGTGCCCCCTGGAAAAGTTATGGGCCACGCTGGAGCATTACTATCGCCGGGGGAGCAAGGCGCAGAAGCCAAGGCACGAGCGCTTCAGGAGGCCGGAGTACTCGTAGTACCGCACCTGGGGATGCTAGAGAGTACACTCCATACTTGTTTCCCATTAGATCGTTGAGCTTCAAAACGCAGGCAAAATAATCGCATATCGCCCACGTCTGAGCTGTGGATGATGAGGTCTTTCAAACGGGATGTGCGTATGTCTAGTGTGCAATGGCATCGTGTGAGTAAATTATTATACCATATGTCCCCTGTGAAGTGAACAGTACATCGCAGCAATAGGGTGGCTATTTGTTTTGCGAGGTAGTTGCCCGCTGTTGACTAGTAGTCCTTATCCAAGACACGTAGCTTTCGTTGCGAAAATATGAACTTCAATTAATTTGGATACATGGTCAAGTCCGATCAATCATATGAAGGCTCCTGAGAATGTCCACGAGTCCATTAATTCGTTCCAATACTGGTTAAGGTCTAGTTGCCATTGGTGCAGGGCAGAATAGCCCTCTATTTCGTCTGTCAGTTCATCGAGGAAGTCATTCCGCGGAGCATGGGGCGTCTCGGGTGCTGACGGGGCCATCTCGTTGGTCATGTTGCCGGCCGCGCGTTGCTCATCGGGGAAGTTTGCGGATGTGTCAGCTGAGGCCGGACAGCACATGTCCCAGACACGGCACAAGCCAGAGGAACCCAATTCGTGGAAGAGAGGCCTCATGGTGACGGTCATGGGCGCCGGAGCTGAGTGCAGCCTTGGCTGGGCTTCTGCAGAGCGCTTGGCGGCCAGAAGAGGGTTCAGTAAACCTTTAGCTGACCCCCATTTCTTAGAGAGCCGCCACAGCACTTCGTAGATGCTGGTGAAGTCTTGCATTGCAGACTCGGCGAGTGAAGCGTATTTGAGGGCCGGGAGGAGCGACAGAGCGGCCGTAAGCAAATAAAATGCGAAAATCGGACCCAATCGTCGAATGTCAGCGTGCTCCGTAAACTCAGAATGTATCCCAGCGATGAACGATGCTGCCACCATAGACGCGGTTGCAGGCGCTTTGGAGCCATCAGAGCTGGAAAGGATAATGAGGACAACAAAGTAAACCACATGAAGCTGCCGCGAACCAACATCGTACACATTCCGCACCTTGGTATCCTTTTCGAGGACCAGGCGCAAGTCTGACGAGAGTTCGCGAGTCCATCTGTAGAGAAGAGCCTCGTAAATTTCCTTCTTCGCCAGCGACAGCCATCCACGTCGACGGTCCTGAACTACGTCTCCGAGTATTTGGCAGATCTCGACATATGCCACAAAGAGCCGGGCTTGGGCATCTGGCCTTGGGAAATCGGCAATTGAGGGAGGAAGGACGTCACTGTCTTCGAGATTGATCGTCCGAGGACGTCCGACACCGACGGATATAAGGATATCCCTGCACTGCAGAAAGCCTCAGCAATTGCAAAAACATGGAGCGAGAGGGAGCAACCGCACCACGAGGGACCACCAGATTCTCCGTCTCAACGCGCTTGACGGCCCCTTCTTAGGTTCTTTGTGGAGGCCGATCTGGTAGGCGAGACCCACGGCAATGTGCACCCAGAAACCGCTGTTACTGTGTGACACCTGCTCTGGGCCTGTTGGTGACCACCACTGCAGAACAATGGCCGCCACTACAGACATGAGCGGCCTAGGCTCGTGCTGATGAAAGAAGAGAACCTTGGCCTTTCGGAAGAAGTCTCCAGATGCGGCCGTGGCCTCCTCGGTCGCGACTCGACTTCCGGCCAGGAACACAGCTTGCAAGAGTAGGGGGGACGTCGGGCGGCCGGCCGTGTCGCCCAGCCAGGCCGCATCCACGACTGGAGTCCACGGCCAGCAAGATTCCATGAAATGATCAACCAACTCTCTTCTTGTTGTTGGCTCGGGCAGGTCCAAGGCCTTGTGCATGGTAAGCACCTGGGAGTCAAGGAGGGGGAAGCTAGAAGGAGTGTCGTGCTGTTCATGGTTCCCCCTCACGAGAGACTCATCAAAAGTCACATTGCCGAGCACTTCGGTACGACCGACGTAGGCCTGTTCTGGTTCATTAATCTCTGGAGGACTGACTTGCTGACTCTCCTGGTCTTGCGATGGATAACTTGGCTGTGGGGAGTCGTCCAGATTGCTCAACGCCAGCCCGGTTTCATGGCGATTCAGATTTGCAGGTGATACAAATCGGCTGCTCACATCATGTGGGAAATAGTGCCTCCTTCTTCTTCGATGCGGTCTGTTTAAGGTCAGTCTCGTTGAGAGTCCACTTGGACACGCCAGTATCCGGAGGAGGTCCTTTACCTGCAGGCATATCCGGCAATTCGGCAATTAGTACACGGGAAACCTGTTGATTGGAGGTCGCATTTGACCTAGAGACAAGTCAGAAATTCTCGAAGTTGAAAGGGGCCACCTGTCTCTAAACCTTTCTCTCGTGGCAAGCCGAGCACGCCATAAAGAATCATATACGGACCCGCAGATATAGAGGCTGTGAAACCGAGTAGGAAGCACTCCGCGAAGGGGGCGTTGTTCCGATCCGGGCCAGATAAGGGGGCGGGAGGTCCGATGACAATCAGCACTTCGGATGTGCAACTTGGTAAGTGAGAAGAGCACCAGGCAGGTCCTATTATTATTATGCCTATGAGGGGAGATTACAATATCACGTGATTAAAAAATCACTGTCTCTCCGCCGGGCTAGTGGCACACTTGACGGGTAGTCCTCGAGGCTACCTTTTCAGAACTTCTTCTCGCGTGCCCACCAGACGTTTTTTTTTACACTTTATAGACATAGCAACTATAGGAGGTGCAGCCTAAAAGATTACTTCCCACTCGACCCAGGTCTCATCTAGGAGTCACTACTCCTTCAATTAGCGACACTGAACTGAAAGCTCCTAAAACCTACTTTTAGTGTGACGGAGCCGGGCAACACAACCCAACGCCCGCCGTATGCTGCCTACTCTATAACAAAAGGGGGAAACATATGAAAATGGTCCAATTGTCGTAAAGTGGAGTAAATACTCTTTTAGTCGATAGAGAAAGGACTGATCAGTAGGACTCTGCAATATCAGATTTCATAACGAGAAGAAATGTGGAGGTGAAAAAAAGAGTCTTATATTGTAGCTAATATCGAATGAGACTTTCTTGAACGAAAAAAAATAACTGGCGTAGCTACTGTCATCGGATATAAGGAATCAAAGTTAGAAACATAGAAGTATAAGTCGCAGGACCTCTGATCTTAAGGGCACGAACCCAATGCAAGGATCCCTATAGTCTATATCTCTAATATGTCCCTATTTCTATCATGAACACTTTTACGTGAACGCCAGTCCTCATCTCGCCATCACACTTCAGCAACGCCAGAAGTTACAGTGGTAAAATTGCCCATCGCCACAATCAAAGTAATACCCAAAGGATGATAGCTCCTACCCGAATAAATAGATAGAAAATATAACCCTTCCTCACTATCGAGATAGATAAATGCAGCCCTGACCGCAACATCACACGTACAAAAAGAAAGGAGAAGTTGGTAGCCAATGCCTAACTACTAGAACCCCCCGAAAGCTCCTACAAAGACCAGCAAGAACTCACAGACTCTGGATTGGTTGATCAGAGGGAAACAATGGTGAAAACATACACAAAGGCGACTGAGGAATAGACACGCAAAACGGGATTCGGCAGGGGCTTGGGTGACACCAAGCGAACAGGAGAAGGAAAAAAAAATGTAACAATAACAAAAAGTGAAATAAAAAGGCAGACCGGAGACTAGATCCCCGTTTCCTGGGGTTAGAACTAACGGCGACAGAAGCGGATCAGAATAGACCGCGAAGACTGACACAAGGAACACATCTTGACAGCATGCTAAAGTAATTTTGCGAATGCACGAGCGACTAGTACGAAAGAAACTGGTAGGGCGGAGGACGGTTCGGAGTCACTGTTGCAGAGCACTTGTTTGTTGCTGTTCGGCGATGACCCACGGCGGTGTGTGGGGTGCGCTGTCCGCGTTTGGGCTTGCTGCGCCGAGGAGAATGAGGTCCACCGAACTAAGAAAATGTTTGTGGTCGACGATATCCCTATTAGTAGCGTTAGCATGGACATTTTCTGGATCTTGGGGGAACATATTGTGCAAAGGCTCACCATGATTCGAACTCTTCGGAGCTTCGAAGGAAGTTGTCCAAGTGCTCCAACCGACGAATCCCTTCAGAATGGTGACCAAATCGGATAAATTGTATGGAAAGGTCGAATCTCAACTTTTTCCAATCTTTTAAACGCTTGATCGCATCAATGATTGGCTTTTCCGACCCGCAACGAGCGGACTGTCCTTCGTGCCAATCGTCGTTCCAATCTCCGTCCGTCATCACCAACAGCGTTGTGGGCTTGAACCTCCACTTGGACGGCATAATACGGTCCAGGACGACAGAGAGAGCCTTTTCCATAATGCATCTATCTGGGCCACCGCCACTGCTTAATTTGTCACGTACGACCTCGTCCAGTTTTTTAAGTCCCATCCCGAGTGGTCTAAACGGCTTAATTCGCCTGTGAGGGTCCGATGTCAAATAGGCCTCGAGACCGTTCGGGTCCGTTTCCTTGGTAAGCAGCAACAAACTTCCCAACGTAATCACCATGTCCTTGTGATGTTGCTCCATATGTGACGAGTCATCAATCAACAAGACGACCTCGCGTTTTCCGAGGTGCTTCCGGATTTCCCTAGAGACATCCCAATCCGAGATATCTCTGCCTTGCTGCTTTGCCTCGTGTATGTGCTGAACGGTAGACTTGTCCAGCGGCTGCATGGGAATGGGAGGTTGGGCCGTGTGCGAACTAGGCAGAGTTGAACCGGATCGGGTTGAACGGGAGCTGTTGTGAGGATGCCAGGTTTTTGTGGAAGTTGAGTGGCTTGTCTCCTCTCGAGTCCGTTCGGGTGGGTTAGGCTGGGTAGCGTGGTAACCGTATTTCCTCCTCATATCCCGGCTCGTCTGGTGGCTTTCTTGGAGTTCCTCTTCCTGCCACGCAGTCTCAGCCTGTATGGGGTGTGTTCGCGATACTTCCCGAGGTGCCAGGTCTCGCGGTCGATTGGCTGAAGTCATGGACTGCTGGCGTGAATTCAGCAGCTCGGGGCTTCGGGCCAGAGCACCGTCATAGCGTCGCGGAGATACGGAAGAAGAGTGAACCTGGTAAGTATTGGGTTTCTCAGCGAAACGGACGGGCGACGCGCTAGATAGCGCTACCGGGCGTCCTCGTCCTGGAGAAGTTTCCATCATCACCATTCCCGGGTCACCTGAAGCTCTTTGACTGATATAGAACGGGTTTTCAGTATTTCCCGTAGTATCCAGGTGTTGGTGAGTCGACCTCTCAAAATTGGGCTGTTGTTGATGTGAGTAACTAGAGCCCCAGGTTGCTCTCTGGTTTGAGGTTCTGGAAACGGGTGAGGGGAAAGGTAGAGACTGAGAACGAGATGGCGGTGTTCGCGGCGTGGGTCCCTCGAGGTGTTTCTGGAACAGTTCGTTCACCTTTCGAGGGAGATTTTGGCGGTCCTCGGACTTTACTAGAACGCACTCCTCCAGCACTAACTTGGCACACTCGGCCGCATGAGCGTAGCGCGGCAGTGCTTGAATCGCATCGTCGTGCCACTTCCTCACGCATTCGAGGACTTCGAAGCCGTCGTGAAAAGCATATTCATAGCCTGCAGGGTCGGCCTTACGTTGGCGCGATTGAAGTTCACTTTTGCGGTCTTCGCGGTACTCTTGGCGGCCCTTGTTACCAAATGCTGCCCAGATGAGACAATCGCTAATCACTGCTCCAAGCTCGAATATTTGCCATATGGTAGATTGTAGGTGGCGGGATACGCCATCCACTGCATTGAAACCGGATCTTTCCGGAGCGCCTTATCGAGGGTGTTAGTCCAGTGCATATATTCGCATCAGCGCTATAAAGGTTTACATTGTCCATAGCGTGGAGGGCGGCTCACTGTATATTCGGCTTCCATCTTCGTAATGGTAACTCCCGTCTTCACCATCACCATCGTCGACCACAGCTGCGCACTCGAAATCTGTGAGCTTTAGGGTAATGGTCCCATCCGAATGGCCGAAAACTAGGATATTGGAAGGCTGGATATCTCTGTGGACTCTATCATACTGTTAGAATGAGCAACGCAATATGCCAGGAACATGGACAGGATTCGGGGTCGAAGACCAGGAGAACCCACATCTGGTGATTACCATCCTGCAACCTCTGGAGGGCGGAAAAAAGCTCGAAGAGCTGCAGAAAAAAATTGCTGAGTGTATTCTGGTTCCAATGGGGGGGATCCTCCAAATGAGGGACTTTCTGGAAGTAGTCGAGCAAGCTGCCTTTGTCGGCGCATTCAAGTGCAATGTGGTACTGCCCACCATGAATAAAGCTGCCGTAGTAACGAACTATATTCGGATGAGGATTTCTTGAACTCTGGAGCGAGTAGTGTATGCCGGCCTCCTTCCTGGCTCGGTCTTCCAACTGACCATCAAAAACCTTGAACGCAAGCTGGATTTGTAGGATTAGTTGGCTGCAAACGCACTGCGAAGGAGCTAACTAACCTTTGTAGACTTGTGGCCAGCGCCATCTTCATCCAAATTTTCGTCCCAATCAGCGAGGTAGACTCTCTTCAGTGGTGTACAAGTATTTTGTAGTGGACCCGGCCACTTCCGGATGGGCAGGATTTGACGGTCCATTAACGGGCGCCGGTGTGGTGTACCAGGGAAGTAGGTGCCATTATTCCCCCGCAAACTGAGCGGGCAGAAGAGCCACTGGTTTTTGCTAAACTGCTTGAAAACGGGTTTAGTCATGCCCGTGATTGAGGCATCTTCCTTCAGGGGGAGGTGACGGCTAAATATCTCTTCCGGGAGGAACAATTCGAGAGCGTGTATCTCCTGGATGTAAACCAGTGTTGAGAAGATGAGAAGCAGCTCAGACTGAACCTTCTTCGGGGGGATATTAATCGTAGGACGCGCCCGATCGAGTACGTCTTGAATTTTCCGGACAGTCCAAAAGCGTTTCTGATCGGAGAGTCGAACGTAGCGTGCTGCCTTCCCATTGCCATCAACACCCTCTTGACTATTTTCAAGGACGAACCGCTCGAATTCTGGGCAGTAGCCCGACTCGAGCCTACCAGACATTGAGGCTTGATACGTTGGATGTCCGTCAGACACGGGCCGAGATCGACTTTGTGTGTAAAGCCAGACTGAAGAAGGTACGGGAGCACAAAATGACAGAGGAAGGATTGGGGCGCAGTTTCAGTATTTCACTCAGTAATGGCAAGTAGTGGCGACTAAACGACTCATATGTAGGCAGGCAACTTTTCCGTGGTTCCTGATTAAGCGGTCCACCTGTAGGCTTCAGTTTCACGTACAGGGCAAGCGATTTGCTTTTATAGATGCGTCAGACGATTCCCAGGGCGACAAACGAAGGGCGAAGGCGGCAAAGAGGCAGCAGCAGCCTAGTTGACGGATCGCTTCGACTTTACAGAGACCAAAGGCCAAGCGGGGTATTTGATGAGAGACATCGCCAGGCTGGTTCGCGAACCACTCCCGTGTGTGATTGTGTGATATCTGGACGAATGAGATGGAATTCCAGGACACCCTCAACCTAGCACCACTAGGAATACATTTATGGCGCTGTGTACTTGAGAAATGGAACCATGGCTGCTCCATTTGCATCATGCCTTGAGAGCCCATGAGCCAAATTCCATCCACGCCGCTGTTTCCTCTATACCCCTTGACTATGCAGTACGGTCTTTGGATGAAGTCGTACCTCAGCCACACAAGCAACACCATAAATACGAACCAAAACTTGCAAAGATACATCGAAAGAAGTGCTACTTCTTCGGAATCAAGACACGACTGAAGCCCAATCACAAGAAAGAGGGACCCCTCACTCGTGACGGTTCAATTTTCAGCCCTAGCAATACTGTATGTTATTATGTACCTCACCAACGCGGATACTGCGTGCTCCGCCTCGTTTGACCACACTTGAGGTACAAGAAAGCGCCACACCTGCTGTTGGGAGGAAAAATATTGGGTCGCGGTCCTTCAAAACAAAAAAGTGAGGCGGTCCATTTTCTTGCTAACCGTCAGTGGTTTGGCGAAGCACAGGACAGGCGTCTTCAGGCGTCAATTCCGCCTACTCCCGTCGATGTGCCTTGGAAGCCAAGAGCAGGTACCTTTTAATGTTAGCCCGTGGATACTAATGGTCACTTCGAGTTTTACGAAAGAAACCCAAGAAACCCAATTCCATCTTCCCCGTCCGCGTGATCGAAACCAGAAAGAAAGAAAGAAAAAGACGTGAGGGATTCCTGTATTAGGTTGTTATTATTATCTCCGATCACAATGTCTTCCCCCTCCCCATGCGTGCTGCATTATCATCAAATCCATTCCTACACCACGAATTCACCATTCGGCTGCTTCCTTTTGCCCCTCCGGCGCATGTACCAAAGGCCTAGCAATATTAGCACCCCTATAACGATAACACAAACCCCTGAAAACACAGCCGCTGTCTTTCGAATTGGAAATCCACCCTCGATGAATTTTGCTTCGACCTTCTCCCAGTCGAAAATGCCGCTTTGGGTGAGGCTCTGGCTCTTGTCAGTACAGCCGGCAAAGGCGGTAAGCAATGTCAGCAGGATGCCTACAACTATGAATGTGCCTGGAAGGAATATCAAGGTAATGACAGTAAACTGCTGCATCGACCATGTGTCCTTGGCAGTTCGGGCTGCCAGCTCCTTCATTTGCTCCGTCGTCCCGTTTGTTTGCATTGCCATCTCCTTCATCTGTTTCGCAGTTTCGCTGGCGTGATTTGAGTATATTCTGGTCATTTCGAAGACTTGATATTGCTGGACCGCCATGTACTATATAACCATGAGGAAGGTGAGTGAGTGTTTATTACTTGCAACTGTGGATATAATCCGTTACACCTACCATTTCTTTTCCGCTTCGTGCTAGACCTTCCAGCTGTTCTAGTTGCTGTTCTCGCCTCTCCATATTCGCCTCGATGCTGCTGAGATAATTGACAAAAGAGGTGATACTCTCGCGGGCTCGATCCCGGACGGCGTCAGGGAATGATGGGATTTCCACTATCCTCAAGTAGTGCTTCTTTAAAGAACGGACAACAGCAGCGTTGTCCCTTGTCGCGACGATGGCTTCCTGGAGCCTTGACTGTAGGTGGTGGATTCGTTGCTGATCATTTATAGTGCAGTTGTCAAGAGCGGTGAGTTTCTCCTCTGTGGATCTGTTGATTCTAGTAGCTTGAACTTCGTCCTGTATTACCTCCGCAACGGGAGGGATCGCCACGTGGGTTTCTATACTTGATGGCATGCGGCTGCTGTTGCCAGTGGTTCTGCCGAAGCTCCAGGATTTTCTGAACGTGCCGATCCTGGTAGGACCCGTTCGCGCGGACACGGCTGTTGTCTGCCGACTCAGTGCCGCGGTAGGGGTTGGTGGGAGAGATGTGCCTGCACCTTTTTTGATGCCGTCCTTAATATCGTCTGGGAGCGTTGAGAAAGAAGGCCGAGCATCCAGATTGATCTCAGAGGCGTTTTCGATGATTTGCCTAAGACGAGCTTCGATATCACACGTGTACCAATGCCAGTCTGCATCGCACCACTCAATCGCGATCCGGTGAACCTGCAACGAGGCTGGGAGGGCCTCTTCTGCGTTGCATAGAGATTCGGGGTCGAGATAGTTTCGACGTTTTGGACTTATTCTCTGGGGGTTTAGAATGTCGTCCATCGCTGCTTTAAACTGGCCGTTACCTTTAGCTGAAACCCATAAGGCCCGGCCAGTTTCTACGTCGAGAACGTGATGAAGTCCCAGTTGCCTCACACCCCATGCCCAGTCGGGAGTGGACGTCGAGCGCTCTACTCCACGCAGGATGTACGACAACCGGATCTCACGTCCACTTCTGCCGAGAGAAGGAATACTGAAGATGTCCTGGGGTGGAACGGAGATTGTCTCGTCAAAGCTAAACATGGCAATTGACCAACCCAGGGGTCTAGCTGATAAATCTGATCGGAATGCAAAAAGGGTATCCAAAAATATGGGCTGGAGCTGGTGGTGTGATGCAAGAGCGGTCGCCATCTCCCTTGTACAGCCCAAGGGACTGCGCGATGACTTCGCCTGGATGGACCTGGAGATGGCCGTTAGCATACGCGAGTGAATGACAGTTGGTGAAGAGTGCCCGTTGAAGATATTAATGGTTGTACACTAGTCCCTTAATCGTATTTATTTTACCCCAACTTACACGTAGCGGAATTTCGGGTCTTTGGGCCTCGAGTCTAGGTGCTCTCGTAACTGCACTAGATTTTGGGTTGAAATGCAATCACAACTCCCTGTTCAGAGTTAGATACAGGCAGAAAGGCATACAAGAAAGTAATAGAGGGATGGGTACCTTGAAGGGGGCTGAAAACATCGAAAAATTCAACATTATTTTTTGGCCCAATCTTTTCGAAAAGCCTAGACCGGGCCTTCTGGTTCGTATTATCAACACCACTAAGAATGTCCAGCGTGCGAAGATAGCCAGACAGTCTGTGTCGGGAATATGGTGAGCTAATCAAATTCTCGGGATACGCCGCATTATTGAGGCTGCTCTCCCGGAGCTCATCAAGGGCATCTATTTTCATCGTGTGCTGGCAGGTACATCTACTCAGGAGAGGGGCGTCTTGTGGCTCTGCCGAGCATGCAGAATGCTTGCAGCGATGGCAAGTAGAGGAAAGATCAAGAGTGTCGCACCCTGTTATATAGAAAACATGAAGCGCATTGTTATTGTGTTTCCCCCAAATATACGTCCCACTTCAAGGCGGACTGCACGCCTCAAATCTACATAGTACTACAGAAGATGCTAATGGTGGGAGGGCAGTGTGCGACATTGTGTAAAACTCTCCTCAACGATAGAATATGCCTTGACGACGAATGGGTCCGACAATGCCCAGATTCCATTCACTTCTCTTCTGTTTCCGATTATGGGCTTCTGAGCTCTTCGATTTCGTCCAGCTCGCCCTAGTACTCCCCTGAGAAGTTAGCGATCAAATGCCAACCTCCTCCGGGAGCGGTCACAACCCCCGATTAGGGAAAAGGGCCTACCGGGGTCAGGTCTCGGGGCAAGTGGGCGGTGTAGTTTGTATCGGATTGCTAAGCCCCCGTTAACTTGCGGAGCAGCGCCTTTGGGCTAAAAAGCACTCCACTTACGCTCACTTGGATATCGAAATCATCAAAGAGCCCCCAGAGGAAGTTTTGGAGATCGTCTTTACGAAGTCGATAATTGCTGATAATCGCAAGCACCATGATTCCAAATTTACTGGTCAGATTTTTCGGTAGTGTAATTGTAAAAAAAAAATATAAAAGGGTAGAAGCGAGGCATTGTTAAGGCTTCACCGCTTTCCCCCGTGACAGGAGGACAGCAAGGCTTTTAAAGATACCTAACCTACAATTCTGTTATGCGACTTGTCATACCAAAAAGGCAATACGGGACGAATGCCAGAGGCGATTTTGCTACGAATCCGGTCCAGCTGAAGGGAAAGACAGGACCGGGAATGAATTTTAGCTCGTCTTATTGGACCCTGTTGCTCTTGGGAAATGCTGGGAGGAGGGGATTACAGTTTGAAGGCGCAGTTTCTTAACATTTAACCGTCCCTCAACTGCGCAGTCGTAAAACACTCAGCGACCCTTCTTGTGAGGGATTGTTAGGGATATATGGGATGGGAGCCTCATTCACTAAGAAGACGAAAGCAGCAACAGATCCGCTCGAGGCATCTTCCAGCTGCCGTACGATGCCGTCATAAGGAAGGCGGCAGGTTAGATTGACGACTCTTTCTAGTGCACACTGCCCAGCGGGCCGAAGGTTAGTGGGAACCAACTTTCGGTCCTATAAGACAATGCGCAGCCCCGCCACGACTCTCCGAGCTCGCGGGGTCTATTCATCCATTTCAGCCCATTGCGGGGTTTTAATCGACTTGTTCGCCTGTTACTGTCTACTTCAGAAGTACCTCGGGACACCGCAATAATTAACGCGCGAGCTATGGTAACTAGTAGGTATCATGGATCTCGCCGTCTGCCTGCTCGATTCTCTTAGGATTCATGGACTGCTACGACTCTTTTGCATCACCCATGCGAGACGGCATCTGCATTGATTCCCGTATACTTTAGGAATACATCTATACAGATGATCTTTACAGTACAGTGCTACGTATATCATATGTATACATGATTTATGACAGGCTCTCTGGAAAAGGCTTCTAATCCTGGTATTAGGGAAATACTGATAATACTGGAAAGGCTAAAGAGAAAGGTTGTTTTATCGTCTGGATCATTATTTAATGTTACCACAACTCACTTCGAAGACAACAAGTGTGACGAGAGACAGTGACCGCAATTTAAGATTGAAACAGTTTACTGAGGTCATGGACTCATGGTCCATCCAACGACACTTGGAATGTCAAGCTACAGCGCTATCCCCCGAACCTTCAAAACCATCGATACGGGAGGAAGTCACGTCCACGATAAGGAGACATAAAACATCCTGCGGGTCTAAGTTAGCGAGCATAATCCTGATTTGGAACCAATCTCTTTCTTACCCTTTGCAGTAAATTAATAAATCTTCCAGCAGGCGCACTTCCCGACGAGGAAGATTTGGCTTCCAGGCTTGCTGACCCCGGCTTCAGATCCTTTCCATTGCGATCACGGCCAGGTGGCCTGTTCTCTACAATCTTTTCCCGACCAAACTGCCATTTTCCTCCAGTCAAAAAAGCTACGGGATCGCCACTCGCAGCCGGATGACTTGGATCAGCATACCGCGATCGAAACTCTGGTTTTGGCGCGAAGGAGGCTGTTGGGTGCCCGTGGTTCTTCTCTAGCCATTTAGCCTGCGCGTACCTATCCATGTATTCGTCAAGCCAACTTTCCGCGCGGTCTAGGGCGTTTTTCTTCTTCTTGTTTCCCTCGACAGCTCGGCGCTGGGCAGAGCCTGCCTCCCCTGGAGATGGGAAGATGAGCGCCGCCGGCTCAGGCCATTCATAGGCACCGCTGGAGGACTTCATCCTATCCTGAATTTGCCCCCGGGACTTTTGCAATTCCTTGTCGCTAGATGAAGCCTTTGTTATTATATCCCTTATCTTTTGATTAAAGCTCGTGGTGGCCTTGGTTTGAGACTCGACTGCCCGCCCTTCGAAGTCGACTGTCGTTATAAGTTCTCCGACAGCGGCTTCGGGTTTCCGTGTCACGACTAGACATAGCAGACCCCGCGGGAGGAAGAAATCCGCGTTGATGGAGACCAAGAATTTATTGGACTTGAAACGGCTTTGCGTCTCGATGGCCGCGTCTGTAGCGATGCCGACTCCGATCCCTAGTAGCATCATCAAGGGCTCGGGCACCGCCAGCCCTGCAAGGTCCGCTAGATTAAAGGAATATAGCCACGGATTGGGCTCCAGGGCTTCGTTGAAGGTGTCGATGAAGTCGAAGAATGTCTCCTGATCGATTCCCACGTCATCTAGGACCGGAGCATACGCTCGGATGAAACCACGAGCTCGTGTCTTGGGTCGGCGTTGCCTCAAAATAACTGGCGCAGAAAGTTTCATGCTTGGGTTCATACTGGGCTTGGTGGGGTGTCTCTTGAGACGCCTTTGCGAGATCGTCGCTGTGGTCCTTGGGCGCTTGCGAATCCGGATCCGTCTCGAGCGGTTTAGGCTCTTGGATCACACCATCTATTAGAGTGGGGTCTTCTGGCTGTGGAAGTAGCCGATGAATTTCCACTTCGTTTTCACCTTCCCTCTTCTTTTTCTTCTCTTGTCGGTACTGATGAGCTTCCGAGACAAAACCGATGCCTGCTGCTGCAATTCCAACGAGCCACTCAATGGGATCGTCCTTTTTGTTGATCGGACCGGTAGTTCTACGAACAACCTGGTCCCGCTCTTGAATAAGATCGTCGACTACTTTCGCGCCCACCGCCGATGCTATCTTCCTACCCTCTTTCGCTAGTTTCGGAGACATCTCTTTTGGCGACCAACCTAATTGGAAATAAACACGCAGCGCAACTGTACAAGTGAGATTCAGAGATCTTGACAGGCTCTTTCCGATAAATAATTGGCCCAAGGTATAGCACGGCCTGAGCTAACATGCGGTATGCTCCGTCCAGGACCGGAAGAAATACCTTCTAAGGGAAGCAGCGGTAATATTGAGGCAGATGGTATTTCTTGTTAAATTTCTACGTAAAGGAAAAAGGGATGCGTATTCCATTGACAATACGGAGCGGCATGGTTCGTAAGACCGTGACGAATCACCTATAATACACCAAATCATCGATTTTTCTTGGCACAGTTGAGTTCTAATTTGTGATAGGTGCTCCATGATGGAAACCCGCAATCCGCAGAAACCGGTGCCTGCCACGGACAGCGAGCCGTCCCAAGGTCGACGTCAATGTCAGTTTTGTCGAACGGTGCCTTGGACATTACGCGTATGTTTTTATAAATATTCTTATATAGCTGTTATTCACAGTGTATTATTCTATATATTATACGTTTACCCGTCTTATTTGTATTGGTAGCAGAATCTATGCTAGAATATGGAAAGAGCTGCAAGAACTGCAAGAACTGGAACTGGGGAAGACTGAGGAATATCACGTGGGACCAGGGCCGCCAAGCTCGTCAGATCGGGGGATATATATCACGTGATGGATGTCTTGTACATGTCACTTGAGCTCTTCAGCTCTCCGATTCTCAGTCTCAACTGCCCCTAAACTATCCCTCTGCTCACCATGTCCCAAATACTATTCGACAATGAGTTGCCCCCAATTCATTCATGCCACCACTGCGATAAGTTCGTCCTTAACCCGAGTGCTGCAGTAATCAGCGAAGATGGTGGCAGCCTGAAATGGGCTGTCTTTCAACCGAACCTGACGAATCATGACCTAGCAGAGCTTAGGAAATATGGCTGTCTACTTGGAGAGGTTGAACTGGTGGGCGGAGTTGAAGGGCGTATTCTTTATGCTTTTGAACCTTTTGACGATGGGCGCACTGGCTTTAGGAACATTGTGTTCGGAGTCGTAGAAGATGATGATGGTGAAGCGGAGCCAATATTCTTGGCATCTCCCGCGGTGTGGTGGGAGCGTGAGTTGCTCAGAACTGAAGGTACGGATTGTGTGCAAATGACCAATATAAAACACGGGTGATCATAAACGCGTATTTACACACAGTCAGGAAGTATTTCCTCCGAGATCATCCCTCGATCTCTTTTGCATGTAGATCCCACATCAGACACCGCTTTCGAGTTGACAAGGGGTTGGCTTCGCACCTGCTTACAATCTCATGATTGTGGAAGCGGGAGTTCGGAATTCATGCCGTCTAGGGTTTTAAGTTTGGTATATGGCCAGAACGGCTATAAGCTGCGGCTAGTTGAGACGCAAGGATTGCCCACTGAGAGGTATTGTGCTCTGAGCTACTGCTGGGGAGGAGATCAGAAGGTCAAGACAACAAGCGCGAACCTGGCAAGCTTCAAGGTCGACATTGACTTCAATGCCCTTCCGGCAACAATTCAAGACGCGGCTAAGACTGCGTATAATTTGGGTTTTCGTTACCTCTTTGTCGATGCTCTTTGTATTATCCAGGACGACAAACTCGATATCGCGACACAGATAGCGGCCATGCCCGACATCTACGGCGAAGCAGCCCTCACAATGATTGCAGCCTCTTCGGTCAATGCAGCCTCGGGCTTTCTCCAGAGGCGAACGTACTTGGAGGCAGATGTCTCCTTGAGGGACACCTGGAAAAGGAGGCAACTTATTCGTATGGGCTTTCGAGGACGCGACGGCAAATTGGGGTCCGTTATACTCGCAAGAAAAGAACTCGTCAAAGACCACGCGCACATCGATACGCGGGCGTGGACCCTCCAAGAGAAACTACTATCTCGCCGGATCCTGGCTTACGGCAAAGATCAAACGACCTGGACTTGTTGCACCGTCAAACAATATACTGACGGCTGGCTGGACAACCATGCTGCCTCCATCGACTCTTTACGATCGATATTTCATCCCCACATGCAGCAGCCGAATCAAAGCACTAACAGTGGGCAGAAACCACTGAACAGGTACCCGCTTGAGCGCATCTTGACATTCTGGGACCGTGTCGTGAGCCAATTTCTCACGCGAAGCCTCTCCAACCCCAACGACAAGCTCCTCGCAATAGGTGCCGTGGCCCAGAGATTCCACGCCGCTCTCAACGACGATTATCTAGCAGGTCTGTGGCGATGTGGCTTGGCTAGAGGCCTCCTCTGGACGGTCACGCCACTATTATAACTAACGTCAACCAATGTTAACTCCGGGGCATGTTATCTAGGTATCTGGTGTAAAAGAAGACCTGGCATGAAGTCGGAACGAGGGGAAGTTGAATTCGAGTCCGCATTCGATACTCAAAATATGCCTGATTGATTGCGGGGAAGTGAGGAGAATGTCCTTGGCGCTTGAGGTCCCTAGCATCCTCTTCAGTCACAGGTAATTTACACAGTCATGAAGTCGCGTCGGCTGCCACGTGATGATACCTTGATCTCCGTTGATCTTCCCTATCGACCCCGCTTCCGACATGAACTTCCCTAATCCCTCACAGCCGCATCACACATAAACAGGTTGCGCTTCAGCACTTGCAAGACTGAATCAAAGCCCCTGGACGCTAGTAACTGCAGATCCTTGGGAGTACTACCGCCCACTCCCCGAGCCATGGGAAACAGCAGGAATGCTCCTGATGAGAGGGTGGTTTACCTGGCTCTGGAAAATGTCTTCAAGGGACCTAATGCCGAAGTACGCCAGCCGAAGCTCATCCGCAAACTCATCAATAACAGCTAGGACCAAGGAGATATTGCCAACCTCCTTGAATCGTATAATATAGACATGATATGTAACACAGCTTACGTCCTCCTCACCGAACAGATATTTGAGTCAACACTCAAGGCAAAGATCCGCTTTCCAGAGGAATTTGGTGATGTCCTACCACAAAACGTCATGCTTTGCGCTGTGTGATCTCTTCCTTTAGTCATCAAAATCAGCCCATCGGTAAGCGAATAATTTCATGACAAGACCAAGAGGCGAACCCACCGCACCTTCAACGCTTTCAATTCCACATACGCGCAACAAACTGATTCCGGGTTTTAAACAGCTTTGTCTCCGGGCGTGCTCACGATGGCAAAACATTCCGACTCACGACCACGCGCGGGAAAGAAGCGGATAGCTACGGGTGAGGGCCGGGGAAAAGAGACCGAGCAGTACAGGGTAACCAAACGACAACGGCGGGGCAAAACAACGGCGAGGAACCGAGGGCTCGGAGCTGCACCTGCTGGACTGAATGGCGAACAGAAAGCTAAGATTCATGAAGTGATATCGAAGTACGGTGATCCACCTTTGAAAGGGTTGGTGGACGACCAATGGGCACCTGGCAAGGTAGTTTTAGCACACATCCTCAACGCCTTACTTTCTTCCACGAGGATCTCGCACAATATTGCGATACATACTCTGGAATGTCTTCTGGATGCGGGCTACAACGACATAGATGTCCTGCGCCATACGTCATGGGCAGCGAGGGTGAACCTTTTGGATTCGGGAGGCTATGTCCGGTACGATGAGAAGACGGCCAGATACCTCGGGGAGCTAAGGAAGCTCTTGACACATAAATATGGTAGGTAGTAGATAAGTCGCTTTGCCCTTGTGTGAGTCAGTACTCGTTACTTTTATATCTAACAGAATGCTAATGAACCACCTCCGGTTTTATTGATTAGATGACGATGCCTCAAAGGTCCTACCCACAGGCTTGCAAGGAGAAGAAGCGCGAACCACACTCTCAACCAGACTGCAAGAAGTCAAGGGCATAGGACCAGTAGGCACGACCATCTTTTTCGGCTCCATCCAGCATTTCTTCCCGGGCATTGCGCCGTTTCTGGACCCCAGAAGCCTTAAGACGGCCGCTCAGATTGGTCTGGGAAGTGATGTCGACGCCATTTTCGCGGCTCTTGGTCATAGCACTAGTGAAATGGCTAAGTTGGAAGTTGCGTTAACTAAAATCCGACTGGAGAAGAGGGAGAAGGAATTCGAGTAGTACATGCATTGTACATTGAAGGCGAATCCCCAAACGTTGGGTACGGGGTAGGTCCCCGCCTGCAAGACGAAAGGCACATGAGGAGGGCTTATTTCGTTGCGGAGGATGCATAAAGGAGCTTTAGATCCGTCAACTGAGGATACATTTCGGTACTGGACTCTTGCGGCGGTGAAGAAAAATTAGGAAGAAGAAAAAAATAACTAACATTGCACTGGGTAATCATTATTCTTCAGCGCCTCTCGTACTCTTGCCAAGTACAGTTGCACTTCAGCATACTACCAAGGTATGATATTCGTCAGTATATAGAGGCTATAGCCTTCTAAGCCCGTCTCGCAAGATAGCCGGTTGAACTGCCCAGCTTCCTCACTTGTCCGCCAGCCACCTGCCCATAGGCGTCTCGATGGCCTTCAGCTGAATATCGGTGAAGGCCGCCTCCTCCCTCAATTTCACCCAATTGTCGTCATACATCACTTCGGTTGCCTAGCCATCCTCTTGTCGACCTCTATTAACACGCTTACCTGCTTGTTCCAGACGCTGCCCCGGGGATAGAGCCATCGGCAAGCCTCCTCAAGGCGAAGGTGGGAGTGGTCGGCGGGGAGGTAGGAGGCAAAGTAGCGGACTAGCGAGTTGAGACTGCGTCGCTTACTGCCCATTAGCTGAGCTCAGCTTTCGCTATCTCTTGCTTAGCCTTGATGATACTAGAACTCAGCTTCGAATCCGAAAATAGATTTTAGTGTACCCACTTTTCGTCTTTGATTCTATTGGTATTCATTGATGGGTACACTATCAGCAGACAGCTCAAGTTCTCAACGTAAAGGATGCTCTTCCGAGAGTACCTCTTCAGTGAAGAAGGCTCTCCCGGCCCTCGAATGGCATTGCTGGCTGATACTCTATCTATAATATATGCTTATCATCCAAGGTGTTTCCTCCTGTTTATATGCTGGCGGAAATGGTCATGAAGCCATCACAAGCCACTGTCGGAAACATTGTTGTCGTTGTATTCCGTTCCGACTGGTACGTAACTTGCTTACTTAATGTCTGTCAGAACCAACGGAATCCTGAAATTCCAGGCTAAAACCAAGCAGACAACAAATTTAGAGAAATCTGGTCAAGGAAGAAGTTTTTCTCCCCAACCCCAATTTCAGACCAGACCCGACTCGTAGGCAAAGATCTCCATCATTGTCGAGATGGATTGTTAGCACGGAAGTGGAGATAAAGCGTCGGTGGTTTGCAAAGCTAGAAGAAGCCGTTGCTAACCATTTCTAACTGAATGGCTGCGTCACATCCAAAGCTGTGCTGCCTTAAAAGCCTGATCCCAATACCTGACCTCCGCTCTCAACCATTGACAACAAGATCTGCATGTTCTAGGCATCTCATAGATCATATGTGTTCACTTATCTGACTCACACTGTCTTATCTATAAGTAGTAGGTAGAATATTCGTACTCCAGCAAAGGTCTGGTCTTGGTTGCACAATGTCAAAGTCGATAAACTTACCTCGAATTACTGTTCGCGAGGCACTGGGGCGAAGCAGTGTGGCGAGGCATTAAGGTGTATATCGGGCCACATACACCAAAACCTCCACGACTAGAAATATACGTCCATAGCCCGGCTTCGAGAAAGTGGGCTTGCTACGTTAAACTAGCTGCCTCAATAGTCAATACCGGCCTTCTTGTGCAAATATATATAGCCTCTTCCCCTCTATCCATGATCAACAAGCGTGTCCTCTGCATTTTCCAATAGCAATCGTCCAGGTTTCGCTTCATGTCTCTTGGAATGCACAGTCATTCCGACCGCCGAATCCTAGGTTTCCTATCAACGGAGCGTCCATCTACCCTTCATTTTCTCTGCGACCCTTCTTAAGAACATCGCGGCGTTATTCACTCACGTCAAGTCGACACCATGGCTTCATACAAGTACTCGAAATTTGAGCTTCCCGAAAATCCTATTCGGCTTCTTCGAATTGAGAGAGGACGGTGGTCAGACCGCATTAGTTGTCAGCTCTTCGAATCGTACCCAGACCAGGCAAAAGGACCCACATACAAGGCATTATCATATACTTGGGGCGGCTGCATGAACACGGATCGTGTTCTCATAGATGGCAAGGAGTTTGGGGTGACTGAGAATTTATATGCCGCCCTGCAGCAAATTCGCTGTCGCCATCACGACGTGCTTCTATGGGTTGATGCCATATGCATTAACCAAGACGACAACAATGAGAAGGGTGGTCAAGTAAAGCAGATGGGAGATATTTATGAAGCTGCAGAAGAAGTCCTGATATGGTTAGGCATGGACGATACGAGTGGGTCCATTAGATCTCTAATGGATATGATCAGTTGGATTGATGCCTCAGCGACAGAAGCTCAGGCGATTGGAAGCGGGGAGGACTGGGTAGACCTGTGCCGTGGAACTATGAGTGAGCTGCCTCTGGGGCTTGGTATATGCGCAGAGTCGACACACGGTCGAGCTCTCTCAGAGCTTCTACAAAGGCCATGGTTTGGCAGAGTATGGATTCTCCAGGAGGTCGCCAAGGCGAGAACAGCCAGAATTTTGTGCGGATCAGCCTCTTGCCCAGCACGAACCTTTGCGCTGATGCCCTCATTCCTGGGGTTACAAGTCAATGAACATACCCAAGCCGTCCTGGACATCATGCCACGATTTCGTCAAAACACGTGGTGGACCTCCAAACGCTACCTCCATTTTCTTCTCGGAAAGTTCTCTCATTGTCAGGCGTCGATACAGAGAGACAAGATATATGCTTTGCTGGGTATGTCGGAGGACGCAAACAACCCAGACAGATTTGACCCTAGCTATGAGAAGAGCGACGCCGAGGTTTTTAGAGATACCACATCCTTTCTCTTGTTTGGAGAGATTCTCGATTCAAACCACTCTTTTCCGGAGTTCGACTTTCCGGATCTATGCATTCCCATAACTCTGCTAGCCGAAAGAACACTCACGTGGACTCTCAGCCAACATGAAAGTGAGGAATTACGAGCCTCGGCACGTCGTACAGCAGTTCTTCTTGTCCGACGGGTAAATGAAGGACAACTTAAAACCACAGATATTCTGTTGTGCCTTGGAGAGAAGCATAGTCGGGCTGGCGATCTGCGAAGTGTCTTGTCAAGTGGAAATGTTGCTGTCGATATCAAGTTTGAAGGGGAAGATAACGTTCTGGAGATTTATTCGGAAGGGGCCACAGCGCCAGTCCGTTTGGTTTATGGTCAGGGAATGTCAGCCCATGAAGCAGAGGCCGAAAAACCAGACCCACCCTTCCATGACAACGAGGATATGACAGAAGTGATAACCAAAATGACCGAGGCTGGGTCGTCGAAGGAAGAGCTTCTGCGGGCATACACATGGGCAGGTGACGTGGATTCTGTTACGAGACTTCTATACGCGGGTGTTGATGTAGATCAAGCTGACTTGAATGGCTCCACCGCGCTTCACTTTGCTGCTTGGCGAGGACATCTGACAATTACAAAAGCATTGCTGTTAAATGGCGCTGATGTAAATAAGGAAGACGTTTGGGGGCAAACAGCCATTAAGTATGCTCTGAAGACTCAACAGAAGGAAGGGGTTACGCTGTGAATATGAACTATGAATATGAAGTTCATTAATACGTCAATAATTGAAGTTTATACGTCGTTGGGGACGCGTCTATTTGGTAGGGCTTTGACGAATCCTCTTAACTGGAAAGGGTAGTTGGCGTATCATGCTAACTTGAGATGGTAAAATGCACCCGTTCCCTCTTCGAGCCAAGACACTCCAATGGCCCAGACTATTACTCTCTTGGCTCTACCCCAAACCTCATTCTAGTCAAGATCTCCTTCTATGTAACCGCGTATTACTACCTCTCCCATCTATCTTCCAAGTCCTTCACTGGTTTCCCATTCGATGGCTGTAATCTCCAGTTCCGTACACGTTGACTCAATCGATCCGTCACAAGCAGCAGAATACACACGACGCCGATAATGAGTATTGGTAGCACCCACGTGACGCACTTGCCCAGTAGTACAACCAACTCTGCATCGTACAAGTGCCATGAGGCACTCCCAAGGTGGTTGAAAAGCGGTGTCGAAACCGGGCCGTTCAGGCTATGCTGCCAAAAGTCATTGCTCGGACCAGCCAGGATTTTAGACTCGGATCTATTAGGCTGCAGCGTATGAATTACCCTGAGGGATGATGCGAATGTTATTAGCATTCCGAATCCAAGAGCAGTATCAAGGAGCCATCATGGATCGCTCACGATGCAAAGTGACCACCCGTGCTGAACATAACTGTAGGGTATGGCAAGTAAAACCAACGATGGTTGTACACCTCCAGGTTCTTGATAAGCTGCCCCACGAATTCATTATATCTTTCGGCCATCATAAACGAAATCGAGAAACCTGTCGGGAAGGCCGCTGGAGCCACGAATCGGAACCGGCGCAGGGGACCTAGAGACCTCTTGCAATGGAGATCCATATCGAGGATAACTCCTTGTGGTATTTTGTTAATAGCAGAAACGAAACGAAGAATAGTCACCACAACAAGCCTTAAGGTAAAGAACTCACCACCAAACTCGTAGAGTAACAGGTATCTCAACGCATCAATTCTCTCAATAGGAAATCGATAGCTATCCCAAATCGGCTTGAAGGAGGGGAATTTTTCCGCTATGAATGCTCCTGCATTCTCATCGGTCCAGAGCATGGCCTGCCAACCTGGGTGCACGTCCAGGCAGCTCTGTCGAGCCTCCACCCATGACTCGCGCGTTGCCGCTGCAGGGCCTAGCGAGATGTGGTGCAAAATTCCCGGGATGCGGTCGCTGTAACCGGGGCCAGCAGATGTCGCATTCTTGCTGTAGTTAGCGAAGCTAACGTCAAACATATCAGCTTCTTCGGAAATGTAGAAATTTTCTGAGCCCTGTGGCCAGGACGACGATAAACTCAGGAGCGTCCATAGTAAGTAGATAGTGTGTCTAAAGTGCCAAAGTAACACAATGCCGAGGAGAAAGGATGAGAA